TAATTTGTTTAAACACAAATTCTATCACTACTCCATAAAAAACAGGTAAGTTAGTTTTAAATTTATGTTCATGGGTATGCAGCTTGGAAAAGCATTACATCCTGAACTTATTTTGTTTGCATTTCATTTGCAAGTTAGAAACACAAACTGATTACTGTGATACAGCAACACAAAATAACATGAATTGGGACTTAAGAATAACCTGGAACAGTGTGGTATGCATTTGTATTCTGTTTTTCTGCGTTTATGTACCATGGAACCATCCTCTCTGCAATTCTAGCTGCAGGTCTATACATGTTCTGCATATCTAGAGACTTAAACATTAGTCCATACAGTACTTGTACTTGTACTCGTCCTCTTTTGCTTTTCTGGGACTGGGTCACAGGGGAAGCAATCTCAGCAGAAACCCAGACCTCTCTTTCCCTGAAACCTTATCTTGAGGAAGCCTGAGGCACGCCAGGACCAGCCAAGGCAGAGTCCCACTAGCGTGGCCTGGGCATTTCCTAGTCCCCCTTTCAGTGACACATGCCTGGAGCTGACTCCTCTCAATGAGAAGTGGCTCTACTCACCCTCACCCTGTCTCTAAGGGAGTGCCCGGTCATATTGTCCACTTGTGTCTGGGATAGTGTTATTTAGGTCTGACCGAGATATTATGACCATAGGTGAGGGTAGGAATATAGAACAATCTGTAAATCAGATACTATTTGTGGCTTTACCACAATGGACCGGTTCAGCATCTGAATTATCTGTTTGTCAATCTCCCACTCCTTTCCTCTGTCACTGGTAGACAAAACCCAAAGATACTGGGCTTCTACTATCATTAGCCCATATTTTTTGGGTCTATTTTTTTTTTTTTTTGCAAAATATCTTAAATTTAGGGTTTTTATTATCCTTATCTGTCTTTCCATCTCTCTGATAAGCTTCCTTGTTGATGCTAAAGAAATGCATCCATAGTTGTTTCCATGATAATGTTGCCATAACAATATTTCACAGTGGATGACATATTCAATGGGATGTATAGAGCTGGTTTCTGCCACGAACAGCATTTAGTAGAGATCCCAGAAAGATTGATTTTGACCATATGTCCATTGTGTCCATTACATGACTTATTAAAAATTTTACTCAAACTTCTGCAGGCTTTCTTCAACAGTGGCTTTCTTCTTTACATTCGTCCATAAAGATCATATTTGCACAACCAATAGAATGTCCAAATTGAGCTGTGTACCTCTGCAGCTCAGTGGGGATAAGGTCAGCTGTTGAGTTAGCACTTTCCTTTTGGCTTCTTTTCTGGCTAAAATGGTATTTTCCAACCAAATTAATTGGATAAGTATATCTTGGTAGATCTGCATGTGTCCTACTATTTTCAGTTGACCACAGGATGAAATTCAAGCAGAATTTTTTTTTTTTTGCATGGCTCTGTACTTGTGCATGCATACATTACTCAGAGGGTTTTTGGTTTTAAATTTGGCTACAGTTTCTCAATGAGGATATAGTTTCTTTGTCTGTGATTTTTTTTCTGTGGTTTCTTCAGACCCTCCAATTAAAGGCAGGTGCCTACATTTTTAATAACAAAAAGTTAAATACATGTAATTATAATGATTTTCCAACCTGCCCAGTTCATTTATTTAAATACAATTGTGTGATGTTGTTGATGATTCTCATTGTATGCATAAAATACACTGAAAATGAAATATTGATTAATTATGTAAAAATACTAAAAAAGATAAAAATCTGTCTTACAAAGCAGATCGTGTTGCCATAGCTATACCCTTTCCATGATAACTAATACAGTGAAACGCTAAAGGCTTCTGCCCACACAGGTCCCTAGTGTCATATTTTTAGCCTTGGCATTTCTCTAAATGCATTTCTACAGTTCAAAACTCTTAGTATTGCATAATTAAATTGAGCTGTTAGAAGTATATTCAGTCTCTCTATGTAGCAAAAAAAGGAGAGCATCAAAGGACACCAATAGTAACACTTTACTACAGTCTTGAAATGTGTCTGGCATCTGAAGATTCCAGCACATAAGGATCAGTTCGGGAAAAGGGGGATTAAGAAGCAAAAGATTACAGAAAAGAACTAGAAGAAAAACATTTTTATGAAAGTATTTCACACTCAACCACATATAGAGCTTTCTGTTTTTCTGTTGTTATTTTTGTCACTTGTTAGGTGTTTCACCATTGTGCGCAGATACAAACCTCAAGAATTTGCACTATATTGCCATAAGTATTTATTCACCGGGCTTGACTCATATATAAACTTAGACGACTTCCCAATCTTAATCCTTTGGATTCATTATGATAAAGGTCCTGCAGTTATACTTTAGGATGGTTGTCAACAAGGTTTATGCAATTAAATTAAGTTTATTTATATAGAGCCAATTCATAACACATCATCTCAAAGCAATAGAGACAATTCAACAAGATCAAGTTTTCTATCTAAGGAAAACCAGCTGATTGCATCGACTTATTGACTCGAAAGCCATCCCTTACACAAAGCATGTTTTGTAGCGACAGCAGGGAGAAAGAACTCTCTTTTACCAGGAAGAGACCTCCAGCAGAACCAGGCTCAGTGTGAACGACCATCTGCAGAGGCCGACTGGGGTTCAATGAGACAGAAGCAGAGATGGAAAAGGAAACAGAGATATAAAAGGCAACTGTCAATCAGCTCCACAGGGGGCCCCTACCAGGTAACACTCAGCCAGGTAGACAAGCTCCAAACCAGCTCCCATGTCAGTGGATGAAAGAGAGCACATACAGTTAGTCACAGCCAGAGAAACAGGACCACACTGAAAAACAGTCCAAGCTCCAACATCTATAAACAAAGGTGTTGATAGCAGCAGCATAGCTGATATTTCTCTCCAGGATGGTGTCACAACCAAACAGTAACAGACCAGATGAAGCTACTATGATAAGAAAAAGAGAGTATAAAATCAGAGATTGAACTAACAAATACTGCAGAATGGGAGAATAGAGATAGAATGAAGCAGAATGATGAAAAGAGGTTCCTATGTCCTCTAGGAAACTAAGCCTATAGCAGCATAACACTAGAGATAGCCCAGGATAACCTTAGCCACTCTTACTATAAGCTTTAAAAAGGAACGTTTTAAGCCTTTCATTAAAAGTAGGCAGGGTGTCTACTAACGTATTATGAGCATTTTGATGAGCTCCCTCCAGGAGACCTTTTGTAAGGTCAGATACTGATGTTGGATGAGAAGGCCAGGCTCAATCTCTGCTCTAATTCAATCCTATGATCTAAACAAAACCTTGTAAATGGCACCAGTATTGGGAGTATTTTTTTTTTAATGACTTTTAATAAATGCACTGTCTATGCTCTGTGAAGAGAGTTTAGCTGCAGTGAGGAGCAAGGAGCTAAGATACACGTTTGTGACACTGATTGGCTGAGGAACTCCAATGTGGGTGGATGTTAAGCATGCCTATAATACACACTGAGAAGACTAATCAGAGCCACTGATTCACTGAGAGCCCTCCTAAAGAGAAGCACTGGCTGACGAGCTACAGGTTTCTGTGAATTGTTTATGTGCAGGAATAATGACTTCATTTGCTTCAGTTAGAAGCATCTTTAATCTAAAAAAGCTCCTCACTTCTTCTCAACACTAAGTGACAGCTGGCTGCCCATATGTCGCTCTTTATTTTCTGTTATTCACTTCTTTTCTGGAATAGTGACCCCTGTCTAGTTCTATTGCAAAGTATATCTTATTTTTGTTCATTTGCTTGAAAAAACATTATTTCTCAGGTTCACACAATATATATATAAACAAGTGTTAAACCTCAAATACATCCAATGTACCTTATCTTATAAAAGAAACAGCTACATTAATATACTTCCTCACTTGTCCCAAAACACACACCAAAATACATTTAACCAAAAACAAATATGTCACTATACAACATAAAAAATAGTAAATAATAACTGACTCAAAAAAAAGCTGTCTTTGAGCTAGTAACAAAGTTTAAACACAGTGATTTTCTTTCAAGCAGGATTCTGGTTATTCCTGACTGTTTGCATTGCAGCACAAGCTTACGTGCATCCATCATGGAGACCTTCCACCCTCTGCAGTCTGTAGAGGAGCTGAGTAGCTCTTTTAGTGAAAGACTTTTAAACCCTGTTTCTTAACCTGCTGCAAACAGACTCTACAATGAGACACTATAAGGGCAATAACTTGTGAAATGTATAATGTGCAATTTACTATTTGAAACCCTGTGCAATAACACGTTTCTCTATATATGAATATACATCTACATAAATTCCCATGTAAGCACCCTGTGCAATAACCCTGTATAGGGATCCTACTATTAAAAAAAAAGAAAAAAGCTCTCATATATCGATGAACTGTATATATCTGATGCACCTTTTTCTTCTTTTGGCAGTTTTCTCCTTTGACTATTTGATCTGATGTAACGAGTCAATTTCTCCACTGTGAGATCAATAAATCAATCAATCAGACAAGCATGAACTATAGGGCCTTGGACATTCATTTAGATGGAGTTGTGAATCTGTGGCAAAACTAAAGTTTGCTATCCCCAGATACTCCTCCTCAAATCTGACACTGGAATAATCTAAAAACATTTCAGTTTACAGAAACGGGAAACTGAAAGGACCAACGCATTAGCAGCTATAATTGCACAGAGAAATAGTTCTGTATAGTATTGACCCAGAGATGATGGATTACAATGACATGCCTTAGTTATGATTCTTATTTATAAAATGAAATAAAACTGAAAGCCTATGTCTTATTTTCAATTCAAAATTATTTGCTTCTTGTTTCTGGTCATTTATTTAAAATCCCAATGAAAAACTTCACCCTTTTATGGTTGTAATATAACAAAATGTGTCAAAGCTCATGAGGTACAGCTGTTTTTTTCAAGGTACTATTAACATCCTGGGCAGACGGCTGTTCAGAATACCAAAAGGTTTTAGAGTACATATTGACTAAAATAAACACAAACTCTTAACAAAATATGGAACCAAAACATCAACTTTTACCAAAAGGCACATATCTTTATTCGACTGTAAAACTTATAACAATGGAAGAATATTTATGTCGAATTCTAAAATGTACAATAACTCATCAGATGACCAAAAAAGCAATAGGACAGTAAATACAACAATGACTTAACATTTCTACAGTACAATTACAGAATAATATTTACAAGGTTTCTTTAGTCAGAACGAAATATCTGGTTCGTACAGCTTAAACGCATCAGCTGAACAAAAGGCTAGAAACAGAAATATCTTCCATTTTTTCTTCTATATTCTAACAGTACAGTGGTTAAAAGGCAACACGGTTATTATTATACTCAGACTGTCACACAATCAGTCATGAACAGAAACATCTCAACACTCAGTGGGGGAAGCCCTGGTCGGTCACATCCATAAAGAATACATCATCCTAAAGTACAGCTGTATACAACTCAGCAGGTATCACATCTGTATGCATTTCTGCTCACTAAGGCTGCCCAGTATGCTTCAACAATTCAGTTATATTTTGTCAATCTGTTTTGGTAATTATGTACATAAAATAGTAATGAATGAGGCAGAAAACTGGTAAAACATTCAGTTCTGTTCAGAAAATAAATGAGGAAAAGTAATCTCTTTTTGTGCTGCAGATAAAGCAAAGTTCTTCTGACATTTTCACTGTGAAAGGTTAAATAAAACATGAAAAAGAAGCTCCAGTAATACCAAGTAGGAATCCAAACAAAGGTGCTTAAAACTTAAAATCTTTCAGCTGCACAATAATCAGGAGAGGTTTTCCAGTTAAAATTCAGGTAGAAAACTTATTGCAGATTGGAGTATCATTGTTCATTTTCATGTCTTGTCATATGCTAGGACCTCTAACCCACTGGCTTTGATTTCCTACACTACAGGCTTTAACCTGGACTAACATCGCTTTGTACTTACATTTCAAGTTTGATCAATGTCTACTTTCAGGTACAATAGTTTTTTTGCAGAATTTCCTTTAGGTTTCTGAGAACCTAATCCCCTTGGTGTTTTTCATTTACCATTTTATTTTGCACCTGCTGATAAAAGTTTATTGTTGGCTATAACAAGCCGATTTAGTTCATCAGGTCAAAGATAAAAGAAATTGTTACTTGTTAAAGCTTTGGCTGATGGATCTATAAAACAAAAGTGCATTGACTTAAAAGAAAAAAAAAAGGCCCCAAGACAGGCCAATACTAACACACCTCCAAACAAAATCATAATAAAATATTTACCCCGCTCATATCATCACTCCTTTTCCCCACTCCATACAGGTAAACATACTTGTCTGTTAATAAATTAAGAGTTCAGCAGTTCACATTCATCAACTGGCTGTGTGTTCGTGTGCAAGTTTTTTTTTTTTTGGCTTGGCAGGTTGAAGTGTTCACATTGGCTAGTGTTGTCCTGTGGCTTTTTTCAGAAGCTCAAGGTCTTTGCGTTTTTGAGCTGCAAGTGGCGAACAGCCGTAACTCTCCAAACCCAGGGGCAGGTAGCGCTCCTGCAGCCCCAACGTGTTGTCCTCTTCTCCAGTTTGGAGCGAAACCCACGAAGGAGGCGGAGAAGAACCCAGGAATCCCCACATTGCAAGGCTGTCTGTTATGAGAGGAAATAACATCATAGAGCAACAACAATAGGGAGAAAAGAAAATATACACAGAGAAATTAGCTGCTGACCATAATCAGACAAGTATACAATTTAACGCCCCACAGCTGGTTGTAAGCTTAAACATCTAATGCTACATAAAAACAAGAATGCAAAAAATTTATCTATTAAAAGTATTAGTGAGGCTTTAGCACTGAGCAAGCAATGCATACAGAACAAAAAAAAAAAAGGAGGTCTATTTAAAATGAACGATTTTGAACTTTTTCTGTTTCTCTCTTGAAAGAGATTGAGAGAGAACACAATTTCCTGCTGGTAACATAAAGGCTAAACTAGAGTCCTGCACGGGTCCAGTTTTACCAACCCGCACCCGCCCGAATCGTTAGGATGACTACCGAACCCGACCGGTCACCCGCGGATATCTTCAATTCACATCCGAACCCGACCCGTTGATATTTAACCCGCAACCCGACCCGTTAACACATCAAGTAATAGGCTATACTACGCTGCGCTGCAGAACAGCGCCATTAACACTGCAGCAGACGTGTATGCTCTGAGTGTGGCCTTTTTAGAGGGAAGCCCACACTGCCGGCAGGGCTTTAAGCTACAACAAGGATGACCCCAGACAGTGCCTGATTAACATAACATTTCTGATGTCCATAACAATAGACACGCATAAAAAAATAAAAAAAAATTAAAAATCACCAACTACCCGCCCGCACTAAAAATAATATCCGCCCAACGCCCGACCCGTTTATTTTTATTTATGTATTTTTCACCCGCAAAAGAGCATTTTTGCGGGTGACCCGTCGGGTACCCGACCCGTTGCAGGACTCTAGGCTAAACCTATCAAATATAGGTTGCTATGCTTTCTCCATCGGACCTATTAACCTCTTGCTATTATGGGACATACTGGATAAGGAGGTATTGGTAGCAGGGATCTCCAAACAGCACTACGTAACTTCACTAAGTAGTACAATGTTGACCTTTAATAACAATTTGTATACGTTGATTTTTACAGCTTTTCATGCTGAATTTATTCAAATATGTAAACGTAGTTTTAGTTTTTGAAGGTTTCAAAATCCTCAATTGGGGATTTAAATTGGGGAAATTAGAAATATGCTGTCCAGGGAAGATGTTGAGAATCTAGTCCATGCATTTCTTACTTCTAGGTTGAAATAATGTAATGCTTCACTATCAGGAGGTCCTGAAACTGCGGTTAAGCCTTCAGCTGATCCAAAATGTTGCAGGCGGAGATTTCTATCGTAATCAATCAAAACTCATATTGCAGTAAAAGGATTTGCAAAACTTTGATTTTATGTCAACTTGTAATATTGATTTGAAAGAAAAATCTAAATGAGCTCAGATAAAATTTAGCAAGTTAATGCTTTACGAAAACCAGACAACACAAGTTCTGATCAGCGATTCTCTAAAGAAAAAAAAAAAAACTTAGTATATTTACCTTTTTTGTGCAGATCAGCAGCTTTAGCAAAACCAAAAGAAATCAGAAGTGGAGCCACGTCCACCAGCCCCTCAGGCTGACCTCGTGTTGCTAAGAGTACTATTGACCTGGAGACAAGCAGAAATGTTAGGACAGCTTTTTTATGGGCTCTGGCTTGTTAACTGAATCGTCCTCCTTCCATGAACTCACCGCTTTGGGATTCCTGTTTTTAGAAACTGTTTCATCTTTGTGTCTACCTTCTTAAATGAGACTTTTTTGGTGACTTTTCCCGAACAGGCATCCACAGAGACCAGGAAAAACCCAGTCTGAGAAAATTGCATGGTAACCTCATTTACCTGAAGGGCAACAGGAAACATTTTCAGTAGAGGAAACTAACAAGTGGGACTAATAAAAACGTTTAACATCTGTGTTTATAGAGTGCTGCAAACTCACAGTAATAAAGGAGTCATTATGTCCTTTCTCTTTGCTGCTTAAAGACTTAACTTGTGTGTGAAGGTAGGACATCCAAGGCTCACTAGAAAACACCATCTGAAACGACAACGCCACACATGATAAACTGTTCTGCTTTGTTTCTTAATGTTAAAATGCAATAAAACAAACCTTCTCAGCCCCACAGTCTTTGCAAAGCTGCGTGTTTTGAGCTGGCAGAGGCACCACAGCTGAGGGGGGCTTGGAGTACTTGGGATAGGCCTTAGCGGTACAGTTGCAGGTCTGTTTGGACGATGTAGTGGCTGTGATTTTTACTCTTTCGCAGCCTTTGGTTGAGCAGTAGCTGTGGCCATCCCGTCCATGCCGGGCTCGGAGGTAAAACCACAGTAAGCTGTAAGTTATTTCACAAGCACAGCAGGAAGAAACGGTTCAATAAGCTTTTAGAAACGTGGAGCCTCAGAGACAGCTAAAATGAAAACTGATGTGGCGACCGTGAGAAAGCTGACCTTTATAGGTGAACATCTGTCTGTATTAAAACCCAAACTAAGCATCAACAACTCCCCAGACCTCTTCATCACTTGATTATATTGCAAGCAGACATGACAACGGGTCGGGGGTGAAAAGGTGAGGAGATTAAATCTCTCTAGGGGGGTCGAGAAGACATGCTCCTCTGGAAGTATATGCGGTACTATTTAATATAAAAGCACTAATCTACCACACTCTAATTAAAATAATAAAGCAAAGTTACAGGTCATTATGAATGTTAAATCTTTATACATCATCAGGGAGGAAATTCTTACAAGTTATTTCCTTTTTCATCCCTTCAAAGACAGACATTCTTTATGTTAAGACTATTTCTCATATTTCAAGCATTTTACTTCTATTTATTAATTTTTTTTAAAGTACTTAACAATAAATATCCAGTCATCACTGATTAACTCCCATCACAGCAGTAGATGGAGAAGCTTTTATTGGCAGTGTGATAATGAATCTTAGCATGGATGGTTATCATTTTAGCTAAACTCTAGCTGCTGCAACACCTACAGCACACTTTGTTAAAAGACAGATTTGTAACAATTTTATTTTAACACGTTAACAAAAACTTAACTTTCATAACTACGTATAACAGTTTTACTCTTGTGACACCCCCTGAAGTTTTTGAATCACATCATATGGACTTATTATCCAAGTTAAACAGATTATCTAAGACTAACCAATGGCATGAAGATTCAGAGCTTAATAAAAAAATATAAATTTACAAAAAATTGAAAAAAAAACTGCATAGAAATACAGGGAAAATTTGACATCTTATTGGACTAAATCAGAACTAGAGGAATTATGAGAGAGAACTAGTCAAGGAAGGTGGATACACTGCAGAAAATTTAAATCTCAAGTAATTTTTTCTTAGAATAAGGGCATTTTTTTCTTGAATTGAGGAGGTAAGTGAGACACTTTGCCAATGGAACAAGACAATTCACATTTCAAATAGGACAAACAATTGCATTGTCTTCTTTCAAGTGCATATTATCTAATTATCTTATTTTAAGAGTAAAAAAAACTTATTCTGTTGGCAAATAATCATATTTACCTACTCAAATGAAGGCTAAATACACTTGATTTAAGAAATGTTTACTTATTTCTAGATCGTTTTTGCAATGTATACCTTTACATCTGGGTTTATATCCTATTAAAACAGGGAGCTGTTCTTTCTTCCATATTCTGGGTACCAGCACTGACTTCAATGGTATGCAGTATTAGCCATACATAATCCAGGTAGCAAGTTTAATCACTGAAAGCTAATGTTAGCTTGTGTCAGTCAACGTCACCTTAAAGCCTATTAAGGTGCATTGCAAAAACAATCTAGAAATAAGCAAAAATTTCTTAAAATAAGTCTATTTCCCCTTAAATTTAGTAGGTAAATAAGATGATTTACCAATGGAATTAGTATTTGTGCTTTTATTATAAGATAATTTGATACGATGCACTTAAAATAAGACAATTCAATTGTTTTTTGTTATTTTTAATGTAAATTGTCTTGTTCCATTGGTAAAGTGTGTGACTTACCTCATTAGTTCAAGAAAAAATGCCTTTATTTTAAGAAATAAATTACTTATTTAGGTTTCTATTTTTTGCAGTGTGGTAACATCCGCCCAAGTACAATAAACCAAATCATGGAATTGTTAACAGCTGTCTGTGCTGAGGTCAGCTTACAACTCCCGCTTTGATCAGCCCGACCCAATCAGGTAACAGAGAAGGTGCAAATAGTTGTAAACTGTAGCTCTAAGAAGGGAAACATGTTATATAAGTCAAGGCTTTTCACTGCTATCAAGTTTAACTAAAGACCTACACTGCAAAAACCATCTGGAAATAAGTAACATTTCTTAAATCAAGAGTATTCACTCTTAATTAGAGTAGGTAAATAAGACGATTTGCCAATGGAATGCATATTTTTACTCTTAAAGTAAAATAATTAGGACCCAATGCAATAGTTTTTTTAAGTTAAATTTTATGTCGATTAACAAAGCGTTTCACTTATCTCCTCAATTCAAGAAAAAATTACTTATTTAGATTTTAATTTTTGCGCAGTATAATAAAACCATTTCTAAAAGGATAGAGTCCTTGGATTTGCTCACCCAACAGGTTGGTCAAAGAAGTACTTTCTTTCTGTGGACTTCAGCTGGGCCAGCGAGGAAACGGGGCCATAATCAACAATGTCATCAAATGTATTTCTCTGCCTGTCATAGATGTCACTCATGATCTGAAACGTTGTGTCTGATGGGTAACAGAGTCCAACCAGAACCCAGTCATCTCTAAAGAAAGAAAGAAGACATAACGCATGTTTAGGATGACAGAAAACATACGTTTACTTAACCAACATTTCTGTAATAATGTTTTTATTGGTCTGATGTAATATTCTCATTTTAAATGTTTTTATTTTAATTGGAAAGCAATAATATACAGAAAGTCATAACATATATATAAAACACTTAATCTCCAATGGTATGGTATTCTTCATTTATTCACTCTTCTGAACTTAAACAGTGCAGCAGGCATTTAATTCATCATCTGTATGTCAATACTGTTTAGATTCACCTTTCCCTGCAGGCTTGAGCTTACACATCTATAATCTAACATTTATGCCCACTCATCTTTGCCAAATAGAGAAAGTTGAGTCATGCTGGAGTGAGTAAGTCACCTCTATCTGGACTTCTGTTCATTCTAACATGAATTAGCTTGATCTAAATGCTCAATAGTAACTCAGCTGAATGTTTAGGAGCGCTCTCCCACTGGAAGATGGACCACCTCAGACTCAAGCCTTCTGAAGCCTCTAACTTTAGCTCCACCCATTATTGTATCAACTCTCTTCTGCTTCTCAGATGGATCAGCAGATTTGCAGCCGCAGGATACAAATTCCACCTTTGAAGGAAGGATTGAACTGTGAGATGTTCAAAGTTTGAGATATTTCACAACTTTCTCCCTGATTTTTTTTCTTCATGGTGCCTTCATGTCTCCATTCCTGTCCCCTAACAAACTTCTGAGATCTTTACAACACAGGTGGATTTATACTCGTAATAAAACAAAGCTGGGCTCTAATACGGTAGGTGGGAAATGGTTATTTGGGTTTTTATTCAGAAGTTTCAGTGTAAAAGGGTTCTGAAACAAAAACACGACAGACCTTTAGTCACTTTTTATTCTTAAAAAGGTTTTTAAAAGCCATGAATAATTTTTCCTTCACTTTATAATCATGCCTTTTTTCCACCGTGGTTTATCAAATAAATTCCATCCAAACATACTTTAGTGTTTAGGATTGTTCAAGTTCAAGTCTATAGATACTTTCAGGCTGCTGTATTATGACATTATGAAAATCTAACAACCAAAGATCATTTGTTCTAAACATGAGATCTACTCGCCTATCAAAATTGATGAGAGAGAGGACGACCTCTCTGGGCGCAGGTCCATTCCAGTGCATAGTGTAGCTCTTGCTCATCATCAGGATAGGCTGGTATTGTTGAGATGACGCCCCCTGGCTGTTAATCCCTCTCAGCACCAGAGGTGCGTCAGGGTATTCATCTCTGTTGATAGACAAACTCAGGCTGGGGGCTCCCCATGTTTGAATGTAGACCTGAAGGAAGAAAGGTTTGTAGAGTAAAAACCAGAAGGATGTAAAGAGAAAGAGGGAACCACGCAGATCCTGCCATGCACCACCTGAGAATAGCGCCCGCTGCAGATGACTCCATTCCACCGGGGAATTTTCTGACAGTCGGGATGCTGGATTAGATAATTGTCTGCTCTGCCGACATACGCATCTCTGTAACCCGTTACTGACCCGTCCAAGTCATGAAAGATTGAGTTCTTGTCCCCATCCAGGTCGTTTTCATCGAACCACTGTCCAGGACGACCGAAGAACACTCGAAGAGCCACCTGAGGAAAATATTAGAAGAGATGTAAAAGGTACCTAATGGCTTCGTTGCACACGTCAGCGCAGTTCTCCATCCTAATGAGGCATCTGGCTGAATTTTATTTCCTGTTTTGGTTTCACATTCTTTTAAGTTGCTTAAATAAAGATTAAAAGCTTAGTTGTTTTTTGTTTTTAATTTGAAGTGAAACTTTCTTTAATTTGTGATGATAATCATTTCATTAAAGTGATTATCAATCACTTTATTCTTCTTGAATCATCTTCCAATTATTCCCCTATGCACCTTTTGTGTTTTGCTATGATGTACACTTGAACAGTCCTACTAGGGAGATGTGCTACATAAAGGAATTTTCCCTGCCTTAAAGATACAAATAATACCTCAATCTAAACCTTTTAAATGACTGAACATTGTTCCACAAAATTTAAGAGAAACAAATTTGTGCTAATGTCTTTGAGTCTGGAATAATTATCACATAAAACAAAAGAAAAAAATAGCTTATATTCCATTTTAGTTTTCTAATTGTGTAGTTTCTTTCAGCCTTTGTTTAATTTTTGATGGTTTCTAATTTATGTATTTATTTGTTTTCAAGAGTTTAAATAAATGGAGCAACGGACACCAAATGATGTTCTGCTGCAATACGCAATGCAACCAGAAGAGGCCAGCAGTGTTTCACTATTGTTTTTTTCACAGATTAAGAAGTTCCAAATCTCTACTATTTTAATTTTAAGATCTGTAAATTTCAAAGGACTACAATAAAGAAAACAAAAGGAAGATTCCAGAATGAATGATGAAAAGAGATCCAGTCTCCATTCTCTCATAAGATTAAAAATGCAGTGGTAAAGCGCCATTACTTTACTATAGGCACAGAATTTATACTTTTTCTTTTTATATTACAGCTATAAACTACACTAACGAAAAACAAAACGATACAATGGGTTTTATTGGGAGTCAAATGATTTCTTTTTGTTTCCCAGAAAGAAAAAGGGTAAAAAGTTGAGCATTATAATCTTTTATGACATGCATATTAGGAATAATAAGACAATGCAAAGCTACCAGACACTGCCGTCCAACTAAACAAGACATGCAAGATGAGAAGAAAACTGAAGCAGCCAAGAGTAAAAAGTTTCTCAGTTCAGTTTAAACAATACTATCTTCTTACATTAGGGTGGAAGCTGAGCTGGGACAGGTTGTTTCGTGGGGTCAGCTGCCAAGTGTTCTTCAAGTTGAAGCCAACTGCACTGGTGTAGCGCTCCAGTGTAGGGATGAAACCTCGAAACGTACTCTGGGTAACACGCACTGGACCGTCATAGATCTGGAAACCTCGGATTGGGAAAGTCCTGAGGTGGACATCAACAGGGACAAACCATATAAAGATGGAAAAGATTAAAGCTTCAATTTTAATTTCTAGTTAGATTTAAGATAAGAATAAAACTTTAAAATGAAAATAATAAAATGATAACTTAAGTAAGCGTTATGCTACCTAATCATACCAAATCAGTTCCTTCCAACGATTCATACGCTTCTACAGATACTGACAGCAGCTTCCAGCTATTTAGAGCCCTAAACATTTTTTGAGAATTATTTCTAATGATGGAGAAGCTGGTGGTGAATAGCATTTACTGAACATTTGGATTACAATTCATAAAAATACCTTTTTAAGCTGCTAAGTCGTTTCAGAAACACAACTCTTTTGCAGTTTTTGCCAGTAAAGCTTAAAGCTTCAGACAAATTCCTTTTGCCGAGGCTCAGCACTTCTCAGCATTACAGGATTTGTCAATTTGTCACGGTATCATAGCAACCAAAGCTATATGTCAAGGAGCAAATGAAAGGGCAAGGGCATTTTTAAAAAGAAAATAGGAGCATGCACTATTAGTAATAGTTATAATAACCAAATGTGGACATTTAAGAGGATTAAACGTATCAAAGATCTGGCACAAAAAAAAGACCTGTGTTCAGACTATTTAAGGGTTATGACTCATTTTAGCAAATCCAAGACTTCTTTAAATGTTTAAAACAATACAGAAACCATTTGTTGTAAATTAAAACAATTAAAGAATCCTTTAAAAATCTGTCTCCTCTTCTTTAAGAGGAGACAGATTTCCTTTATGTCCTAAACAAACAGAAAACATTTACAGTTTTGCCCAATAACTAAAAACATATTTTTGAACATTTGGTTCTTCTATATCCTAAGAACAGAGAGTTATAAAAAGTAATGTGCTCTTAAGTTACATAAATTATTAATTTGATCCAAATTTGTCACAAGTAAACAATTGCAATGCAGGTTTAATTAAAGGGGCAGTCTGTGCTTAAAGAAGCTGCTATATAAACCCTTTTCATGCAGAAAACACACTGACCAGGAGTTAATCTCTAATACAATTCTGTCTTTAAGAGAAAGTCTAATTGTTCTAAAAGTTACCACACTTTTCATAAACTGCCGAAAATATCATGAGAAGGAAATGAGTCAAACAGAACTTCTTTTCACAAGTTGATCTACAGTGAAGAGTGGCTGTGGCACACATGAGTCAACCCTACCAGCTACCTGACTGCCTCTGCAGGAGTTTTCCCATTCAATACCATTCTGCTTCTACCTTCATTAATCCCCATTTTTCTTAACCTTACTTGTTTCTTGGCAGTGTCCGCATCTTTCCGTCAGTTCCTCCCATCCCCCAGTATTTATTCTGTCCTCCGTTGGTGCCTCTGTTTCGGCTCTCCCCAACAAACAGGGACTGTGTCACCTCCTGGCTGGACCCTTCATCCTTAGGGTAGCTGCCATCACTGCAGAGAGTACGCAGTATTATGTGATGTATTCAAACATGCTTGCAAATTATACTCTAAACAAAAAAGATTATAAAGAAGAACAAGAAAAAGAGATATCTGCAAACATAATTACCTGTAAATGATTAAAATGGCAAAAATTAGGAAAATTATCTGGAAACGTACAGGAAAAAAATGAAATAATTCATAACAAACCTGGCAAAAGACAGTCCCACTCCATTGTCTGCAAAGCTGCAAAAAATGCAGAAAAAATGCTGTAAAAAAAGCTACACATCGAGTAGACAGGGTACATTTTGGAGTTTTCAGAAATAAAGAACAGAAGGTAGAACAATATTTAACATAAAAAAAAACACCTTTAACTATTCCATAAAATATATAGATTCTCAGAATAATCACCTGAAATAAAAAAAAAGTAAAATCCTGCACCTTGTTCGTTACTATATTGATCTTTTATTGACGGAAAACCAAAACTACCATAAATGAAAAAGAAGCTAACCCCTTTAAAGCATAAGTTACTGAAATCAATCATATGTAGTGATTCAGTTTCACAAACACTCAGGCCTGATATCTACAGAATCAATAAACTACATAAATAAAAAAGTAACATTTCCTGATTTAAAAAAGGACTGTCATTTGGGATTGCAGAGAACCACAGTTAAAGCTGTGGACCTTTCTAATATAATGTTTTTATATCACAAAGAACTGTAATAATGGATAGCCAACACATCCCAGAGTTACAAACTTGCATTTTACATTCTTCTGCAATATTTTTTTAGTTGCAACAAGACTCCCAGTAGAAGATGATCGACATTGCTCAAAAAACTAAACTAAAAAGTGAAACTGAACTAAAGGTCAGACATGAGAAAAATGAAACTTAGGCACATTAATCGAATTATATAAATATAGCAATTTACAATAGTTATTACTTTTGCAGCCCAGGGTTAGAACCTTAGAACCAGAACCAAATTGAAGCACTAAAGGAACACTTTGCCCATCTAAGCTCAGTGTTCAAGACTCAACAATGATGAAACAACTGAGTGAAAATTAGATTAATCTCCAAGAGTATTAAAGGTCAAAAATCACTGCAATGAATCCCAAATCCCACATCTAGACAGCGATAAAGACATTGGTGAAAAATTAAAGAACTAATAAGGAAGAAGAGGGATTTCTTGGAGAGTGTTTATCCAGTTATATCTGGTTTTGCTCTAACAGTCGTTCAGAAGCAGAAAATCACAGCAACAGTCAAACATGGTGATGGTAGAGTAATGGTCTGGGACTGCTTTGCTGGTTCAGGGCTTGGATCCATATATCTTTACCAGAGTAAAAACCAACTGAGATGATTCAGTGAACCTGATTCTAAACAATTCAGCTAAAAGAATAGGCCAATCCCGTTGCTAAAAAAGAATTAGACCTCCTTCAACAAATAGCATGTTTTAAATTAAGTGAAAATGAAGGTTTGGATCAGATGCTTTGATTCTTAAAACATGATGATCTTGCGGTTTCTTATTTATTCATTAGATTCAAAAAAAGGAACCCAGAGCACATTTTCACACGCCATGGTCCATATTTAGTTTATTAATCGTTAAATTGACAGAGTTTCCACTAATGACTGTAAAATGTTATATTCCTGAGAAGAATGTCTGAAAGAGAATATCAGATTTCAGAGGGATCTGTGTGAACCCGAAATAAATGTGTCTTAAATAAAATGTAGAACAGAATAAAATCATTTACATAGTAGTTCCAGCAAAAACCTTCATCCTAGACATAATACAATTTTTCTTGTGCATGCGTTTATTTTCGTCTTTCAAACATGTTAAAGAGTCGTAGATTTGTCTCACCCAGAGTTCTGGATGATAATGTCTCCCCCTCGTATCCATGCTCCCAAGTCATTGTTCTTGAATGAGATCAGAGAGTCAATGACTGCGGCCACTCGAGGTTGACTGGGGTCAGCATTCTGGTGGGGTCGAAATCTGACAAAAAGAAAAGATCATAACCAATAATAAAGATAATATTGTTGGCCCATTTCTCTCTTTCATTATTTAACAGTCAAAAAAAAGGGTTTCCCACTTTAACATTTTAAAACCTTGGCATACTCCTGCACACATGCCATGTGAATGTATTTGAGAGCAGCAGCCAGCAGTCTCAGAGGACACATCAGATTTTTCTCCCATCCAGTTGGGGGCTGTATTTGGATAGGTAGCAGAGTGGAAACTCCATCTGTAAAGCCTTGTTTTCTCTGTCAACACAAACCTGACAGGAATCCCACTAAAATGCACCAACACACTATAAAACCGTACACCTATCTTTCTCAGTCGACGGCCGTGTCCCGGTGCGTCTCCATCAGAGTAATACCGATAACTTTGTTCATGACCATTAATTAGCTCTGGCATTAAACAAATATGTTAGTAAACCGCACATTCCTTCATGTTTACACAGTGTAATTAAACATCTTGATGCATGTGATAACACGCCGCAGACCATTCAACAGTGCACATTTATAAGTTATGTGTTTACATACAGAGTCCGTGGAACATTCAACCAATTAATCAAAACTTTAAAATAAATAACCAATGTGGCCACATTTTTTTCTGTTTACATTGATTAACAACAAGAAAACTTGAGATGTTCTGTAAAATAGCAGGTGACCAGAATCTGGATCAGCTTGGCCAAAAGAAAGCTTAAAAAAAACAGCATTTTTCTGATCAGTGAATGCAACACCTCAATCTCCACCCAGTAGTACCAACAACAAGAGCCTAATTTGGAGCTTGTTTCTGATGCTATTGAATAGACATGTCTAAGATTTATTGAGACCAGTGAGAGGGATGCTGCATTTCCATTGACCATCAAACTGGACAACTTGGTATTGAATTGAATTATCTTAAAGGAAACGCATCAATTAAATAAACAAATGTTTAGTTTTTTGGGGGGGAGCTGTATTGGAAGTAGCAATTTTTCACAAAACTGCAAAGGAATCACTTTCTTCACATAACAGGAGTCAAATGATCATCAGCCTGATGTTACAACCAGTGAAAAAGACTGAGAAGGCGACAGGAAGTACCGGTACTAAGAGGATGATGAGGAGTTGCTGCATAAACAAATGTATTCCTATGTGATTTAATTGCATTTTTTTATTTAATGGAAACGGCATTTGCAAATTTGTGATTTTTCTTTTTACATTAACAGAAAATCGACAGTTTTTGCTCATTAATAATAAAAACGCAGAAACTGAAAGAGAGAGAGTTAGATTTTCAGCAGGTAACAGGAAGGCAGAACAGAGTCAAACATTGAACATGTGTGACTCATGCATCATGCTAATGTAGGCCCCCTTTTTGGAAATGTCTGGGTAAAGGTAAAACTCGATCATTTCCCAAATAAATGATCATAGTCTGCCATTTTGAAATCTTGGACATAAATATAACGCTAACCAGCAGCATTAGATGCATTTACTTTGCTGTTTTTTTATCCTTAAATAGTAAGAACCTGTTTCACACTAAACCAAACATCAAAACATCACCTATGCCCCTAAACTAACCACTGTTAATACTTTATTGGCTTATATTGTATTTCTTGAAGTGCTGTCATTTGTATTGGAAGATACATACAGAAATTAGAAATCTTCCATGATTTGCTGTCGGTGCACATTTACAAAAAAAAAAAATCTGTTATTTAATTTATCTTGCAGTCAAAACCAAAAAGCATCTATAATGCTCTCGCCCAGACATACACACCTTGGACTGTTGTCTAGACAGAGGTATTCCCGGGGATCAGCAGCGCTGGCATTCGTAGTCTTCACTCCTTTATCAATGAACAGCCCTGCCTAAGAAGATCACAGTAATAACATGATAATTTTTTCCTGAAACTAAAGTTAAGGACTAGTAATATTGGCCAAAACAACTTCAATTGATAAGCTAAACTGTTTAAATTAAGTCTTTACAATTTTTTTTTTATCTGAACATGTGATTGAAAAAAAATCATAACATATGACAAATGCAGTTCATAACAGGGTGTCTTGTGCATATGGAAAGTTATGCTGTGAGCTGAATGAAGAGAGGTTTGCTCTTTAACCGCAGGGCTCCTTCCTCTATTGGAGGCTGCTGTGGTCAGCCTGGATAAAGAGCTCACAGTTCACCTGCCTGACTTCTGTCATCACACAACAGAGGCCCATTGTAGCACTCTTCACATGTCTGTAGGTATCCACGTGTGTTCCAGTGCACATAGTTTGGCAACAAGCAGGTTTTTATGGAAAGAATTACGGTTATTGACTATAAAGATGGGATTTTCTCTTTTTTCTATGAAACAGAAGCAGAAATAGAGCTGGAGGTTTGCTTGCCTGCCTCACAATAAAGTGTGAGCAGGGCAAGAAATACCAGAAGTACCTTGAAGTTAGAGTGCACACGGTTGTTATAAAAAATCCCAAGAGGAGTGAGCTCTGCCTTGGTCTCTGGTACCAGCCCATGAGAGTCTCCAGTGGAAGAGCTGTGGAACACAAACCATATTCCAGCGTCCTGGGATGGGAAGGAAGAGCAGAGAAAAAGGTGATAATTACTATGTTTATACGACTACTGGGAACCATTCTGCAGGCAGCAGCAGAAACATACAGACAATGAGATACTTGGAGTGGGGCATTCTTGGGCTGTTTTAATGCCACAGTAATAAAAGCTGCATTTAAGGGTTTAAAGTTTGCACCGCAAATAAAACTGGCAACACAATAAAAAAAACAAATAAAGACTGGCATCCTCTTTATATGCTATACTTTCATATATGAGCTGCCTTACAAAGTTAATGCTTTAGTCTATTGCTCTTTAAGCCCTGATTCATTGAATGATCACCCAGTTACGAGCGAAATAATCTTTAATTTTCTGTCCTATTAAAGTTCAGGAACGCAAAAGTCAATGGATTAGGGATTGATGAGAAGCATTTTCTTTTTATTTATGGGGATTTGTAAAATAAACACATTTTGATTACTTGTTTTTTTTTCCTGGTGCTTTTTAATTATTTCACAACGCCCATCTAAGTGCAAAGTTAAATCTGTTGTTGTTACCTGAGAGCCAGCAGCTGCATTGCTGATCAGGTTGTTGTTGGGGTTGGCGATCCAGAATGTTGAGACTGCCCTAAAAAGAAAACACACACACACCACAACACAATGATACACATGCAAGGATGCTAAAGGAATACAAGACGCTGATCTCAGTCCATATGCTTATGAGTTCCAAAGAATCTTGCAGTCTGTTTTAAAGTCTCTCAATAAACCAGCGTTCCAACATCAGCCATGGAAACACTGGCTCTGCCAAGACTCACAATACCCAAGACGAGATTCCTGTAGACAGGTCTTTCTCTTTCCACACAGAGAATTTTCTAGTTCCTGTTATGATATAAAACCCCCAGAGAGAGGAGTTCGTTATTCCTTTGATAAAATCATCCCAGCAGTATCTGCCTCTTCCAACTTTTACTGAAAACACCCCTTCCTGATCTCATAAAAACATCTGTTTTCTCTCAAAGATGTCTGCACCTTCCTGCCCGGTTTTTGAGTGACACTGACTGAAGGATCACAGATTTTACTCTAAACTCACCGTTATGAAGTAAAAAAAATATATATATAAAAAATTGTTTATTTCCTTTTCAGAAAAATCTAAATACAGTCTTACTGATGAATATGACAATGTTAAAAGAGGGATTTATTTATAATAAAAAACACCTTGTAAACGGTTTTATATCTAACTTTGCTACCATAAATGTCACTATATTTTATAGGGGATTGCATAACAAACCAAAAAAAGAGTAGTAAATAGATTCATTGGAAGAGGGGTTTTTTTCCATAATAAAAAGTCTGAGAAGAGTGACATGCATTTGTATTTAAATTAAGTCCAGTTTAACCAACCATTTTCAGGTATTTAGAACTCAGGTGAAATAATTAGCTAAAAGCAGAGTGTTAGTTGAAGCTGAACACACATCCAACCTATGGAACTGTGCTAAAAACATTTTTGCAAAGAAAATTATCAAAAAAGGCTAATGTGGCCTGAATCCAAAAGCATGCCACACTTTTCAGATTTTTTAAATAAAATGTCCTAAAAGCCATTTATGCCTTTCTTTCAAACAATTTTGAGTGTCTCCTCTTATAGCTCATAACATAGATCAACAATAAAATGCTTTAAAGTTTGGGGTTTGATTGCCACAAGACATGAAAAAGTTCAAGGAGTAGGAATGTTTTCCAAGGTGTAGAAATTGTTTCCTTCTCTTTGCGAATGTTAATCATGGTTTCCGTACGGGCAAGATCTGATCCAACAGAGAAATAAAGGGAAGACATGTCCACACTGTATTCATATCAAGTTATGACATGCAACTAAACAACAAAGGATATCTCTCCGATAACAGATCAGAAAGTTCTGTATTTGTTGTCTCTTCTCATATCTTTAAAGAGCAAAACCCAAAGTTAGAATCTCTTACTTGCACTCTGTACTTGGTGAAGGAGTGTAGCCCTTGTAGACTTTATCCCTGATACTGGTGCACAGAGTCTCATTGCGGTCTGTTGGCAGCAGAGTCCCAGGCTGAGTCAGGAGGCCAAGGTTGTGGTAGAAAGTGTTCCGCTGTTCAATTCCGTCCTCCAGGAAAAAACAGTGACCCAACGTATCATACCCCACTGTGTTCTGCACCTAGACCAGACGAAAAAAAAAAAAAAAGACCACAAAACAGCTTCAGCAGAGTTTTTGTCACGGGAGAGACTTAATTGATGGTCAGAGTCCCCATTAAAAGGTGCTTTTCAGACAAATGTGGAACCCATTTTGGTAAACATAACATCAAGGGCAACATCTGCTTTCATCACCCCCACAGGAAAGTACAGCGAGGTCCGCAAGAGCTAAATTGTGCCTGCTGGCATAAATTCTCCAAATGTCTGAACAAATTGTTACTGAAGCTAAAGCAAAGTGAAAATACAGAAAATCTACCTTTAGGTTCCCATGTGAAGAGGAACATAGGAAAAGAATAATCCTGCAAATGTTATCCCTGATTTGAAACCAATTTCCCCAATTAAGTCAGGAATGCTTCAATTAGGAGCCCCCCAGATAACTAATCACCAAGAATATTTTTTCTCATAAAAACCCAAGAAGAACAATATTGAAATGATATAAACAGCTATTTTAAATTCCCCAATTCTCTGCTTTAAAACTAAAGTAACAAATTAGACAGAAAAGGGAAGATTGCCTGAAACATCACAACAATGGGATTGTAATTTAAGAACATTTTACAAATAAAAGAAGAAAAGTATGACCCAGATTTTCTTTTCCCCAGTCAAATAAATACTTTTGTAAGTAGATCTTCTTAACTGCTTTTGTGAGGATTTTTTTTACATTTTTCCAAAACTACACTTGGTTATTTTATGTATTCGTCTTGCAAAGAAGCTCAAGTTAAGACTGGATCAAATACATTTATGAAAACGCCTATTTTCTAGACTTACCAAAGATTCTAGGGTCTGGACTTTGGATCATTCTAACACATGAATATGCCTCATCTAAACTCTTAAATAGTGGCTCTGTGGTTTGTTTAAAGTCGCTGTTCTAGATGGTGAACTGCAGACCAAAATGTTTTGCTTCCCCTAAAACTGATTTCTTTCCAGCCACTTAGAACAATTTCCATTTCACTATTGAAGTAAATGAAAGCTCCAGCATCATGCTGCCACCAACCTGCTCCATAAGATGATGTGTTAAATGCTAAATAACACAGTAATAAACTCTAATTACTTATGAAATAACTTAAGTGATTACATTAAACTTAAAGTGTTAACATCACAATGTGCTGGTTAAGATTCTCAGTCATCCAGGTCATAGTCATTCCAGAAAAGTTAAAAAAGTTGGAGAAAAAAAACCCGCTGGACTTTGTTTTCCAAGTTTGAAGACGTTTCACTTCCAATCAAGGAAGATTTTTCCATTTAAAATGTCTGGATTAGCGTTTAGTT